TTTTTTTTGTTTTTAATAATCAGCTTTGTACTTGCCTAAAGTCCGAACATACTCTTGTCATTTACAAAAGTATTTATTTAATTTGTGTATTGTCATACTTTTTTATTGTTAATTTAAAAACAAATCTTATTTTACTTTGTTTTCTTCTGTATATTATAATGTTGAATTATCGTTTATTAAAGTTGTAATTAGTTAATAAAATTAATCAAATTGTAAATAAAATTCTGGTCGTTCCTATTGTCAAAACACATTTGAGTATAAGTAATATATTTTTGATTAATTTATTTTCAGTGTTGTGTATGATGTTTAATACTTTTTGTTTATGTAATGTTATGCATGGGATAAACTTTTGAAACAGAAAATGTATTATATAAACCCAAGATTACCTTATTTAAATACCAATTGAAATTCGTTTTGTGTTATATCAATGTTGATACAATTTAGAGAATGTTTATTTTTATTCAATAAATTAAATTTCCAAAATTAATATTTGTGAATATTTTTGTTTTCATTTATCCATATAAAGAAATTATTAAACTTGAATTGTTAAATTTTATTCACAACCAATCAATTATTGTTTTTACATAAGATTACATAATTTTAAAAAATATTGAAATATAAGACATTTATAATTGTTATATAAATAGATACAAACACACAAAAACAAATTATTTATTTTATCTTAATAGTGGAACAAATGAATCGATAGTAATTAAATTATTGTTTCTTATAAATAATCCATTGCTTTTAATATATTGAAAATAAAAACGAATCAGTTAAATTTAAACAGCAAAATGCAGAAGCTTATAATAGTTTATTGACGAATGTACACAAAAGAAAGCATAATTTAAACACTGTACATATCTCTTTCTCCATAAATGCTTGCATTCTTGTTGATAACTCTCTCGTTTGCTAAAGTTGATTTTTCTATCGTTGATTACACCCATTGTGGAGGAAAAGCCCTTTATCGTTTATATGCTATTGATAAGTGCAAAAAGACTGGAACTGGCTCAGTGATGTACACAAACAGAAGTCCTTCTGAGTATTATCCAAACCAGAACAAATACAGCAAATCGGACTGTACAGGTACTCCAAGCACAATGCAGGTAGTTGGTCCTCAGTATGTAAAAGAAGCTCCATCTGGTGTTAAATATCTTGGCTTCCTTGGTGATAAAAACACGAACTGTGCTGATGGCGACACCATTGACGGGGTTTACTATACAGACGCGTGCTTCCAAGAAGATTTCTTTTTCAGATACACAATTTTAAATGAAGATGGTAAAAACAAATTGGTCAAAAGAGGTTTCACTTCGGGGGTGTGCGCCGAAGATCAATTCAATGAAGATATTACAACCGAAAGAAATGAATGTAACAAGTGCACTGATGGGGTGCTGTTTAGATGTTATGGTGTTGATGGGGTGGCTGCATGGTCAGACCCGACCGAAAAAGCACCTGAAGTACCTTCTGATAAACCATCTGGAGATCACTCGGAAACAGATGATGAGAATAACAACCAAGAAAATTCAGCAATTCCAGTTTATTTGTGTATTATTCTTGTTGTGTTTGCTGTTCTTATCTAATTAATTGATTTTCGATTTATTAAGATATTATACAAAAATATTCGAAGTACCATAAGTTACTTATACTTTTTTATTTTAATTGCAATATATTGTATCAAGTTCATTAATATATTGATATTATAATATTTATTATTTTGTATTTTAATAATAATAAAATGTGTCAATGTTATGATAAATATAGACTATTGGTTTAAGTTATAATAACTTATAATTTATTATTTAATTATTTTAAGGTGTGATGTTTACAAGCAATATTTTTTAATAATAAAGTGACCATTTTTATTGTATATTTCATCGAAATATGGTGGTAAAAAACAACCAAAACATTTCAAAAAACATGATAATGGTAAACACATGATAACATCGAACGCAATAATGACGAATACTTGTCAAAACTCAAACACTTTGTGTTTTTGTAAACATTTGAATAACATTTAAACTCAGAGAATTGTAAAAAGAGACAACATGTCGATCGTTAACCTTGCTGGAAGATACACTGGACAATGCCTTTCTAACGAACACAGCGCCGTCATTGCAGCAGCTGAGAAATACACTGGACAATGTCTTTCGGATGAAAACCGAGCGCTTGTTGCTGTAGCAGAAAAATACACTGGAAAGTGTATATCCAATGTCTCCAGTGCTCTTGTGTACGTTGCCGAGAAATACACCGGAAGATGTCTTTCTGGTGATTCCAATGCTTATGACGCTATAATGAGTAAGCATGGGCGATTCAACTGTAACAGTAAATACTATGCCATTCTTGCTGTTTGCCTCTAAATAAGTCAATTCTTATTCATTCATTTTTGTTACTTAACACAAATTCAATCAACAATAAATCAATTCAGACTCAAATAATACTCACCAAGACTTTTTTCTATTTTACACGCGTCATTTCGCTCATTTGATTGTTTCTCCATGAATCGCTTACTATCTTAAACAACGCATTGTCCATATTTGCCGGTTTGTCAAGTCGTCTTCCACCTGTTATAAAATTGACTACCTCCCATGGATATCTAAACATTTCTCTTGGGAAGGCCTCTCCCCATATAAATATCTCGTACATTGTTATTGCAAATGAATAGACGTCTGCACTTTCCTTGTATTTTTGTTTCTGAAGGATTTCAGGCGCCACGTACTTTGGTGTTCCAATACCTTTTGTAAAAGTCATGTTCGTCATCAGTAAATTGACATTTCTTGCACTCCCAAAATCAGTCAATTTTGCATTGATAACATCTGTACAACTCAGATCTAATGAAAAGACTAAGATGTTGTCTGGCTTGATGTCTCTGTGTAAAATCCCATTTGTGTATAAATACACAATTCCCTTTATAGCATCAAGACACATTTTCACTCGCAATTTAAGACCAAATTCGTCACTCTTTTTAGTGTCTATCAAATTTTGTAACGACCCAAATGGCGCATATTCGGTGACCATACACACTTTTGTTGTGATGAACACAGCCCCATAGAAATGGACGATATACTCACACCTGAACTTATCTAACATCAAGACTTCATTTTCAAATTCATCGTTCTTTGTGTTGTTATCTATAACAACCCGTTGTTTCAGTTTTTTAATGGCAACTTGATTGCCTCTGAATGTGCCTTTAGACACGATGTCAAAGGATCCTCCCCGAGTTTCTTCTCTTCAATGATTTCGTCTGGATCAATTCGAGTTGATTGTGCTGTTACCCCACTCATTCGTATTTCATCAAAACTCTCTTTGCCACTTTGAAGTGATTTGGAAATGATGAGAATTGTTGTGTCGATTTTAGATGTGCAAAATGGTGTTATAATCAGTGTAAATTCACATGCAAACCCTTTCTTTAATACAACTATTTCAGGCTCCGTTCTCATTGCAAATTTGGTTTGATCACTTTTAAGAGAAAATTGGATTTTCAATGTGCGTTCTTTTGTATTTCCAACACAGAACAAGATTTTTTCTTTGGTGTTAATTGGAAGTTCTTCTATTTCGGAATTCAAGTTGATTTCACTTGGACTCACACAAACGCCATTTGAAACAACTTTGAATTGGACGTTTGATCGTTTGATTGGAAATATGGTCGTCATTTTCTCAATTTCATTTTGGTGAATCTTTGTAATGATATGATTGGTTTTTACTATCACAACCGCGACAATCAAAATTACGACCAAAATTGATATGACAATCACAATTAAGAGCATCCACCATACCGCCTTTGTATCACACGCAGTGCCTTCTTCATTTGGTGCTTTCCAAAACGAGCATTTTGTGCATTTAGAATCTTCAATTTTGTTACAATCAAGTATCGACGAAATTTCAGTGCAAATTGAATTTATCAAAACCCGACTTGGATCACATGATAAACACATTTGCTTCGAAGAACACGTTTTGCAATTTGTATCACACACATCACATTCGTTTTGATTGATTTGGAAGTAACTGTCTTCACATTTTGAACACCCATTTTGAGTGACTTCAACTTGACAACCAACTATCAATTTTGTGGCTTACAATCGTTATTAATCGTCATGTAATTTGTAGTGTTACAAGTGAGACACTTTTGAGTGTTGTAGCAACTCTCACATTTTACATCACATTTATCACAAGAAAGTCCGTTTCTGTAATACCCATTTACACACTTTACACACCCTCCAGATGGTACAAATTGCATACAAATGTCTCTTAAGTCTTCATTTGTAATGCAATCGTGTTCACTCAAAAATGTACCACTTCGACAACTCATACAGAACGTCGAATTATAATAACACGTCTCACAATTTGAGTCACATGTTTCACATCTTTGTGTTATTAAATTATAATAAAACCCAAATCCGCATCTAGCACAGCCACTCGTGTACGTTTTAATACACTTTTCATCATCATTTAAAACACATGTTTCACCATTTAAAAGCATTTTATTTGGACATTCAACACATTTGGCGTTTAAAACACTTTGACAATTTAACAACTCGGTTGTACATTTTCCATTCAAGTCATTTGGATGTTCGCAATTGGTCAACTCACATGTTTTGTTGGTGTTCATTTCACTTAACGAGTCACATTTTGTCGACTTTTGGTATTCACAAATTAAAGTGTTTGGGTACACATCTCCACGTTTGATGCATGTTGTTGTATTTGTGTGATATCCACTGTTACACGAAACAACACTCTTTTGATTGATCACTTCCGCATGTTCTATTTCAACACAAATTCCGTCTTTATTAAAAGTGTTTTTAGTTGTATTGAAGATCGCACAAGACCCATCTCTTCTCAACAAAATACACTCACAGTCTACTTTACATA